TCCTGCTGATGCGCTCTGTGATTGACATCTGCCAGGAGGTCATCAAGCAGTCCAATGTGCAGATCCTCGTGCCCCCTGCGCGCCCCGACATTATGCTCTTCCGTCCGGGGGCCGCGGACCTCGGCTTCCCTCTTGACATGACCAACGGTGCCGCTTTGGCACCCAATGGCAACGGCATTGCTGGTATGCCTGAAGATGAGGCCACGCGGGCTGCACTCACTGCTGCGCAGTCCTCCCTGCCGGTTCTGCAGGGAGTGGACCGCCTGCCCATGGTGGCAGGACCTCTGTCCCCACCGCTGCTGGCCTCCCCCTTCCAGAATGTTGCTGCTAGTGCCCCCACCTTAAGCACCAAGAGGGGCAGAGGGCGTCCGCGTAAAGCCAATCTCTTGGACTCCATGATGTTTGGTACCCCAGGGGGCCTGCGAGAGGCTGGTATCCTGCCTTGTGGTCTCTGTGGGAAGGTATTTACGGATGCTAATCGTCTTCGTCAGCATGAGGCTCAACACGGGGTGACAAGCTTACAGCTGGGCTACATAGACATCCCACCGCCAAGACTGGGTGAAAACGGTGTCCCTGGTCAGGACGACCCCGACGCACCCCGGAAAAGAAGCAGGACGAGGAAACAGGTGGCCTGTGAGATCTGTGGCAAGATTTTTCGGGACGTGTACCACCTGAATCGGCACAAGCTGTCGCACTCTGGCGAGAAGCCTTACTCTTGTCCTGTGTGTGGCTTACGGTTCAAGCGGAAAGACAGGATGTCCTATCATGTTCGATCTCACGATGGCTCTGTGGGAAAGCCCTACATCTGCCAGAGCTGTGGAAAAGGCTTTTCCAGGTAAGAGAGTACTTGTAAGGACCATAGACACAAACGGAGACCTGGGAAGTTGTCTTCCCTGTTCCTTGGGAAACAAGAGCTCTTTGTGCTTGGACAGTTTGACGGTTCCGTCTTAAAATGTCTCGAGAAATGAGACTTCCATCATTTCCACTGGGATGCTGTTCTACAGTCTCTTGAAAGGGTTTAAAAGTAGTTAAGACACAGAACTGGGAGTCAGCTGGCTTCTGGGTAACGTTTCCAGCTTTGTGCCAGGCTTGGTGTATGCGTGTCCTTGGGCAAATCGGTTAGTCTCTCCCTCAAATGACTCTTCTGTGAAATGGGTATTGAAATAATTACCTACCTCACAGAAGAGTCTGGAGACTACTGAGTTGTAGGTAGTTTGAAGGTGCTGTTGAAGTGCAAAATATTAATACATCTCAAGATTATTATTTTTCTCGTATCCATTTTAAATTTTCTTTTTCTTAACTTCCCTTCATTTCTCTTAGTTCGTAATGTTTTTTATCACCCAAATGTGAAGGAAGAGGTGAGATTTCAAAGGCTGCAGCATCAAGTATCTTTTAATACATGATCTTTGTGTCCTTTGGGTTTACATCCTTCTGAAGGGGATCCTGTTTCTGCCCTGCAACATACGTAAGATCTGTGCATTTAATGTTGCTGATTTTTTGTTGTCGCTGTTTGTGGGAGTTAATTTAATAAGTAGTTTGATACACGTAGTCGTGTTAGTGGTATCTTATAGTCTGAGTTAATGAATTTGAAACTGTTTTGGAAGTTTGATGCTCGCTTTGAAACTAGAAGTAGTGGGGGGAGGGGGACGCGTACACACTGTTAGTTTTGTAGCAGCAGTCTGGTTTCTGCAGCAGTTCATGTGCTCTAGCAGGAGGGAAGGAGTAGAGGTACGAAAGCAAATCAAAAGGCTACTAGTGCTAGCGCTGTCCCAGCTATATAAATGTACGAGCTGTGCCCCTGCTGGCTCTCTCTTTGGTAGAGGGACTTTTTGCTACTGAAATAAGTTAAGAAAATGTAGAGGTTGGTTTTGTTTTTTTTTTAAATCTGCACTAGTTAGGGATGCATCTGCGTAAGGACTGCAAATTTAGTGGTGCAAAGTCATAAAATGAAAATTTCATCTGTAGCTAGAAGTGAAAGTATTTTTATTGTTATAGTGCTGCCTGGGATCATCTGCCAATTTTTATTGTTTTTATTCACACTTAAAGATTTCTGCTGTTGCTGTATGAAAGGTTTTCGTCAACAAGGGAAAGTGAAAGATTGGTGTTGAGCTCTCTTTTTTCCCAGTAAGTTAATGTGAACAGGCAGGGTTGCTGTTATAAAGAGTAAACAACAAAAAGGTTTACACAGCTGTGTAAAATCCAATTATGAATGTAAAGCAGAGACTCTTTAAGTTTCAGTATTCAGTCGTAGGAGCAGCCAAAGCAAGTTGGAAGCGTGGTGTCTAATTTTAGTATCCTTTCCTTTATTCAGCAGCACAGCAGCACTTGAGGTTGCTAGGCTTGAGGTACCTAGAAGGACCCCCAACCTGTCTTTCTGGTTACGCTGCTCCAGCCCACTTGCTGGAGCATCAGGTTTAACAGCCTCACTGCAAAGTTCAGTCTATTTTCTGTCTGCAGTGCGTGAATTCCATCCCGCGCTCTCTCATTGGCGCAGCTGGAAAGTTGGGGGAGGAGAGGGTGGGGAACTTGTTTCCGAGCAGTTTTGGCCTCATACAATGAAAAGCTTTCTTCCCGCTAGGAGAAACTCCCACCAAGAAAATCTGCAGCTATTCAGTCCTCTCTTCTTCAAAGTAGGCTTTACTGATTGTGAAGAATGGTCTAACTTTTTTTCAGTAATAATTTGCTCTTCCATTGCACCTTCTAGCTGGGACCTTCAGAGCACTTTATTTGTATTAATGCAGTCTTCCCCACCAAGCTGTGAGTTAGGACAGTGTTTTTTCATCTTGCTGGTGGAAAGCGTGTCGCAGCAACAGAGTTTAGAGTCAGTCTTTTTGCACAGAGGTGCTTAAAGTTGGCTTCTTACATCCATGTTTGGGACATAAACCAAAAAGGGTCTGATTTTCAAATATTCAGCAACTGTAAATCAAAGTGCCCTGACTGTCAAGCTCTAAATAGGATTTTGTAAGGGGACATGCAGGCTTGAAAATTGTAGCTTGTATATCCTGTTTTCTCTGATCATTCAGTCATCATTTCTTCCTGAGAAAATGCTGTCTTTTTAGCAAGTTGGAGAGTGTACTACTTATCAAGGTAGAGTCCCAGTTGTTGGTGATGTGGTTCTTGGAAAGTAAAATATTGCGACATTGGTAATACATCCACCACTGGGATCTTATGTTTTTTGTTGTTGTTGTTAAAATTATAAGTTTCTTTTTAGTATTTGTTTTAAGTGTGCTTATGTGTATTTTCTTTTAAGGCCGGACCACTTGAATGGACACATCAAACAGGTGCATACCTCAGAGAGACCTCACAAGTGTCAGGTAGGAGCTGGAGGGGTTTAGACTGATGTGTGGGTAATCTTTGGCATTGCATTTATGTGCGCGGACAATTATGAAGTATCAGTAAATATCCCATGTATGTGTGAATCGGGAGAAGTGTGAATAACAGTGTTCAACAGTGACAGCTGCTTTACATCCCTCCTGTCCCCCAGCCCCTTGTGTCATCTGCAGCTTTGGTCCTCCTGCCTCCCTGCCCTTCCACCAGATGTTCTTCCCTGCTGCTCTATCCCAGTCTCACCCTGGAGCTCTTACCCAGCCACCTTGTCCCTGGGCTTAGAGATGATGTCATCCATGATTCCCTCTCCGCCCTCCCCTTTTGTTATTGCAGTTGTTGCCAACAGGAGGCTCCAATGCTGACTTCGATTTTTTTAGAATAATTTCAAATGGAATTGGTAAATTGTCATGACTTGCCAAGATTCTTATTTTTTTTTAATCGCATAGCCTTCAGAACATTGCACTGAGCAAAATTGGAAGCTGCTTTTTTATCCCAGGGAGAATATAAATAACAGCATCACAGTATCCTTTGTAATACAATGTTGTAATGTTGTATATAGTTTTTTACAGTTAATAAATTATTCATTAGGGTTTGAAAGATCAAGTCAAAAACGATATTTTGTAATTCATTTGTAGAGAGATTTAAAAGATGCCTGGAAGTATTAAGACCAAAGTTGAGCATCAGCTTCCACTATCACCCACGGCCATCACATAGTTGTGGAGCAAGCTTCTAAAACATTTGTTGAGCTAACAGTCTCCATGCTTGGTCTCTGAAGACAGATGTATTTAATTATTTATGTAAAGAAAGTCAGAAGACAGTGAAGGTTAGAGGATTTTTTTTTCTTCTAAGATTTTTAGCCACGTTTTATGAACCTAGTGAATCCTGAAAGACTTCTGCCTCCCGATCTGCGTTTTTTTCACATCTCTTGACACACCTCTCCTACGTTTTCTCCAGATTGTGAGAGTTTTGAAACATATTGCAACTTCAATAATCCAGTGAACAGTTTTTCAGACACACAGAGCTATCTAAAGGTTTCTGTTGACCTCCATATGATCTGTGGAAGCCCAGCACCAAAATCAGGCCATAGAGCCTTCACATTGATTTAACTGTATATCCTATATAAAGCCTTAGATTGGTTTATGCTTCTTAAGATGATTTAGGGGTTGTAGGTTTATATAAATTGTAAAATTCCACTCATAAAAGACTTAACAATTTGGGGATAACAAGGGGTATGGGTGGATGAACTGAAGATGACTACAAATTTTTTCTGTAAGCATGTATTTGTGTGCAAGTTCAAAGATGAATATTTAGGTCCCAACATAAATAGAAACGCATCAGTCTTTGCGAGTTGATATCAAGGTTACTGAACAAACACAGTTAATGAAAAGTGTTGATAGATGTGAATTGTCCTTTGCCAGCTGATACCTGGTAATTTTTTTTTATAGTTTTCTGATCAGTTTAAGAGTATTAAATATAAACTCTGTAAGTGTGAATCAGAGGGTACACTAAGAGCTAGAAAGTAAAGAAATATGGAAGCTAAGATTGTACGGCCAAGCTCAACTCCATCTCCTTGCACGTATGTGTTTTGTGACAGCAATTTCTAAGAACACTGTGTCATTGTGTGTGGTTTAAAGTGCCGGAATACTGGATGCATTGTTCATTTCAGTTACAAGGTATAGGCTATAGGTTACAAGCATCAGGACAGACTTGAAGTTGTCATTCATGCTTGGTTTGTTCTTGATTTTTGATTGCTTAACCTTGTAAAGTTAATGTCATGAATCTTAAGGTGTAGAAAATTTGTTAAAGAGCCATTGTGTGCCTTTGCAAAAAATACTTCATAATATCCTGTCAGATTTAGAAAGTCTTCTTACATATGCACAGATCTGATATACATGGTACAAACCATGGAAGAGATGCTGTCACACTGAAAATTTGTTTTCAAGCTGATGTATAAATTGCTACAGTTCTCCTTGTGATTGTCTCATAACCAGTAACACTTCTGTTCCGTGACGTGTATCTAAGCACAGAAACTGCCCACGAAGAAGGAAAGTAGCTCAATGTTGGCATCTTGTTTCCCCTTTTTCCATTCTCATTTTCCATTGATTTTGTTTGGCAATTAGCTCCCCGTGAGAGTAGCCTGGACACCACTGAGCATCCTTTTTGAATCTGTTGAGTTCCTGTTAAAAATTCCTGTTATTGTCATGCTTTGTTTATGGTTACTGCAAAAGGCAAGTGCTCTGTCAGTAAACAGAAAAGCTTTGCAGAATCCTCTGCCATAATGGCGTTCTTGGAAGTGGTGCTCTGTTACGATTTAAACAAGATCCACTGGATGTTTACCTGAGCCCTCATATATCTTGGCAAACCAGTGGATAGCTAATGTTTTGTTGATGTGGCATCATGGTACAATTTTGGACTACCAAAACAAAAGTGTGAAGGTGTCAACCCAACTTCAGAATAAATAAAATGAAACTATGAGAAACAGGACAATTGTAAGCTGAACACCACGGCAACGGCTGTAGTTTTCAGTGCTCAGCATGTAATACTGCACTCATCCCCCTAAAATAACTGCTGTGCTTCACAGAACTTTGAAAAACTATCCTAAGTTCCAGCACTTGTGGCACCTGATGCCAGACAAAGACCTGATTCCAGCTTTTTCATTACTGTTAAATAGACTCAGAATAGGGAAAGCCTCCACAGAGCCAAGGCAGCTGAGAAATCTCATGCAAGAAGTTTCTTTGGTGTCCAGACAAAGACACAAAGTAGCACTCTGGATCTTTTCCTCTGCATTGTTGTGCTGGTGATTTGTTTCTTTTTTTGCCTTTTTTTTTTGTTTTTTTTTTCAATCTGACAGTTGAGTCCTGCATGTAGGAGACGGGGTAAGTCAGTTTTCTGGCGGTAATGGGATAGCTCAGCTTGCTAACTTGTCGTGGGAAGGGGTGAAGCTGGGTTGTTGGCTTTTGAGTGTGAATGGTATGAAAGTTAGGATGCAGTCTGGGAGGAAATGGTGATCTGAAAATCTGTGGATGCGAAAGAACAAGGGGAGAAAACAGAAGTTTGCTCCTTCTCAGAGACAAGAGACAGGTTGTTATTCCAGCAATTCAAATAAAAAAGAGAAGAATGCAGGTTAAATTAAAGCATAACTTTTGACAAAGAAAAATACTTATTTATTTAAGTAAACCTAAAATTGGCATCCCAAGTCCAGTGCTTTTCCCATTGATTTCAATGCAGAATGAGTTTCTTCCTGTCCTAATTTCTCTTACTTCCTGCCTATTAGCAGGAAAATGGCAGCCACCATGGAATAAGCTCAGAGACATCCACATCCATAGAAAAGTTGAAACTTCAAGAGGTATTTCTTAAACAATGTTTTTTAAACTTTATATATATTCTTTTTGATCTATTTATATACCTGTGCAATGTTTGATAAGAAAGCACTGGAGAGTTTTCTTTTATGATTAACAATTGATGATAAATAATTAGCACTCATTTAGCACTTCACATCTTTTATAGAATAAAACTTTTTTTTTCTCTATACCTTTTATAAATATTAACTATTTGAATATTAACTTTGGGGTTTTCTTTAAACCTAGTCCTGTCTCCCATTGTTATGATTCAGCTAAACTGGTTCTTGCTTTCTCCACTGGACTTAATTTTTTTTTTTTAAGCTTCTTCGCAGATATATTTACTGTATAGCTTATCCAAAGGTGAACTTTGCAAACCTCAGCAGCAAGAGTGAGAAATCCAACACAGAAATGATTATATTGCCTTTCCCTAAGCTTTTGACTTGATAAGTTTAATATGAGACAGATACGGTTTTATACTTCTGGCATCCCTGTATTTATGTGGTTTGTCTCTGGTCTGCTTCATCAACTAATGCACTGCCAATGCTTCTGTGTGGACGCTTACTGTGGCTCAAGATTTTTAGACTTATTGATGATGGATCTCTTGGCTGTCATCTTTGATTGTCTAGTTATATGTCTTTAGTTAATGTCCAACAGATTGATTAGTATCAGTGCTGGAATCCTGCCTTAGATGAGTGTTTACCTCTAAGAACGTTTTAGTAAGTGAAAGCTGCACCTGTTTTGCTCAGCGCTGTGTACTGAGATCTCAAATTAACAGAAATCTTTCACGTTCAAGCATTTGCCTCTTAATCTTCACTACTTGTGATTTATGAATCTTTGGTGGGCTTAGTTAAACTGTGTGTATCACAGATATACAGGTAATTTTACTGTTGTCTTTTTAAGTTCGTTAAGTTCTGGTCCTCTGAGGTGCTAAGTCTTGTGCTTGCTGCAGAGTAGCCTCAGCTCTGTGGGACTTCACCTTACTTAAGCATCTCATAGGACTGAACGACTGTAAAGCCTGTTGAAAGTGATAGGTACTTTTCAGATGACTTCAATGTCTTTTGGATTAAGCTCTTGATTAACTAAATTATGTAAAATTATATGGGTTGTCTTCTGTATTATCATTTTCACTTACTTGAAGTTATAATTTTATAATTTTACTAGGATTGTTACTTTAACAAGTCTATGTATGTTGAAACGGTTGTGTAATTACGCACTGGTACTTCAAAAGACAGAATATATCCAGTTCCCAAGTCACTTAATAGTCTCATATTATCTCTTAGGAGGTTCTGGTTATACATCTTAGAACTGCGTTATTTTATATAAAGGTGGTATAAACGAAACACTGTACACTCTTGAATGTCACTGTTGCCTGCTTGGTCTGGTCATTCTAGCACGTTTGCCTTCGTTTTTCCTCTTGCACTTGCGAGCAGTGGCTTCAGACTAGATCTTCAACAACTTATACAGTGTATTGCTCGTGATTTATTTTCTTTCACATGTTAGAGACAGAGCAAGCCTTTCAGAACTGGCAGGCCATTGTAGTAGGCTATATATGTGCATGGCTGCCAATTGCTGTGATTATAAAAATGGGAGGGAGCCTTCACTCATCACATGGATTGGGTCTGGGAAGTGGGCAAGAGAATCAATATTATCTTATGCCAGATCAAGCTTGTTTCATGATCATAAGTGGAATAAGATACTTTGATCAGGGGTAAGTTACAAACAGATTACAGTGGCATACAGTTGTTTTGATACCTGCTCAGTTCTGAGGCTTCACTTTGTCTGCACTGCTGCTGTGGATACCAGGATGGGTCTTTTACTGTCTTTCATCATGTTCTCATCCCAGCCAATTCTCTGATGCTTTGTTTGTGTGTCTTCATGCTCCAAAGGGATTCTGTGTACTGAAGTTAGATTGATCAGATCAAAGAGTAAAATGTAGGAGGATAACAGAGAGGACATTTAGAGTGGTCTAAATTAATTGTAATGGCTCGGTGAAATGGCAGAATTTACTGTAAATGGAATTAAGTGGTCTGTGCTATTTCTTTTAAATATTACTTGAAGTTTTAGTATCTTCATCCTTAGAGAGGACCTAAGGCTTTGCAACTCTATCTTCATTGTCAAGTTTTACGGTCCGTAGTATGTTAGAGCTGTTTTCTTGCTTTCTTAATTCTTTCAAGTTGTAACATCACATCTTGTGCAGTATGTTGGTGGTCAGAATTTTTTATTTGTGGGAAATTGGCTCGTGCATCATGTCATTTGTGTGTTTGCACAGGGTCTAAGGTATTTAAAGAATACTAAATATATTAGACAATATCAGTGCTTTTAGCAGAGTTGATGAGTCACATGGTTCTCATTATGCCTGCAGACTTGTAATGCTTCCTTTGCCACTCGTGACCGACTGCGCTCGCACCTAGCATGTCATGAAGACAAAGTTCCATGCCAGGTGTGCGGGAAGTACTTGCGAGCAGCGTATATGGCAGATCATTTGAAGAAACATAGTGAAGGACCAAGCAATTTCTGCACTATCTGTAACCGAGGTAATGAAGAAACTGGTTTTTTGTTTCAGTGGGATGGGACAACACTTGAGGGGAGCTATGAGGCTGTGTTACTGTCTGCAATAGGAGGAGGTTATACCACATATGTGTACGTATCCTTTGTTGTTCTTATTGAATACTTAACTTTGAAACTGATGGAGCTAGAGGTCTGGCCTTTTTACATGGCTGATAGTTCCTGAAGAAACTCAGTTTAAATCTGAAGCAAATTGTTTCTGGACAGTTTTAAGAATTTTATTTGCTGAATAGCCAGATCCCAGTAAGATAACCATGATGTGTTGCCTTGTCACTATTGACCATACACTTTCTTTTCTCCCTATACCTGGTTATACCTGAGTCCTTGCATTGTTTGGAAGAAGAATCTTTGAAATGCACTCCAGGTTGAACATTATACACTGTGCATAACATAATGTAGATTTTTTTTTTTTATCAGTCTTGCTTAACCTCCTGGTGCCGCAGTAGAGAGTCAAGCTGCTTCTTCCACTTAACACAGTAAATTGTTTTGTATTAACATGCATTTCTGAAACAGATTTTGTAAAGAGCACTAGAAATGTGCTTTACCTTTGTTTGTACAAATACAGCTTCTCATAGAATATCTCAAGTTGGAAGGGACCCATAAAGATTGAGTCCAACTCCCTGCTCCTTACGGGACCACCAAAAACTAAACCATACGACGAAGAGCTTTTGAAGCTTTTCCATCTGTTTGTGGTACTCTTCAATTGGAGAGGGTTGTAAATACAGGCTCTGTGGGCTGTAAGGCAATCTGGAAAAGTAATTTCGACTTATTGATGTCTTTTTTTGAATGAGTAATACATGACTTCAAAATAGATTGTTGGCTCACGCAGGCGTACATACCTAGTAAGTGTAGGAAGAGGTTGCTGCTGTCTTTTGGAATCTTCTTTTTTTCTGACGAGTCCTTTTTTTTAATGATGTGTGTTCCCTTTTCTAATTTAAGAGAGGGAAAATCTTTTGAGAGAATAAAGCTGTTCTGTATTTAATGAGAAGACTGTACAGGGAACTTTTGGATGACTAGGAGTTGATGAGTAATGAGACATTAAATTGCAAGGGAGGTATTTCTGGTAGTTGAACTGTCTGTTAGGTCCTGAAAATTATGTTAACAGTTTGAGTGGAAAGGGCATCTGGGTTGAAAATCTTCAGATTCTGGAGTTCCAGGTAGATGGTATGAAATGAAGCTTGACCTCCTTTTCAGCTGAAGGCCTATATTCTGAAAAACTGCTTAAGCTTATCCCAATTCTTTTTGTGGTAACAACAGGGAAGACACTATCCAAGATCCAGGTGTGACCCTACTCTCCGTCAGTTGAACATGGTGCCAAACAGAAAATTCTACGGGTTGGGAGGAATTGTCTTGTTTCCCAGATTTGTAAGCTTGCGTTTCAGCTTAACTACCACTGGATGTCACTGCAGCTCTTTCGAAATTCAGCCAGCATGACAAAGACAGATCTGGCATTCAAACAATGAAATGACTAAATGGTTTATTCACATTTTACAGATTTAAATGCACCGTGGAAGTTCAGATAAAATAGACATTTCCCTGTGGAAGCATAGGGAACCTGTTGCAGAGCAAACTTTAAGCAACTGCTTTCTTCTTACAGTTTGTGTATTTTATATGTGTTGCCAGAATTTAGTCTGCTGTGAATTTCAGTCTACATACATACCTGGAAAACGTAATTAATCTGGTGAATTTTTGTTAGATATCTACCTAGTGTCAAAATTCATAGGAAAGGGAAGTTACAGATTGGACTTGTCTAATAACTGTGTTATGAACTCGTTATAGGCTGTGAATTTTGATTCTAGATTTATCATCCGTGACAGCAGAATTTTTAATCCAAAGTGTTCTAGAATCAAATTATAATGATCATTGTTTTAAATGGATACCTTTTCAGTTGTAGAGCCTGGAAAGATGAAGGATAGTTGATAATTTCTGGGTTAGAAACATCCGTTTGATAGGCATTGGGCGCAGTCAGAAGCTACGCACCGTCCCCCCGACTGCAGTTGTGCCATAGCTGTGGTGCTTGTGCAATGGGATTTTTACTCTTTGCTCAGCTAAAGTGCTGGTCTCTTTTTGACTTGGAACTTAGCTAGTTCTGGATATAGTAATTGTTAAACAAGAATGCTCAAGCTACTTGGTAGAGAGAATTTTGGATGTTGGCCCACCAAAACAAATAAACAAAAAAAAAGTGGATGAAAAGGTGACTGTTACACGGCTGTATCCTAGTGTTAAAGGCAGAGCTTAGAATCCCTCAATTTATCCTATCAGACCAAGGGCTTTTCTGTGGAACTTAATCAAATGTCTCATGTCCTTTTAAAGGTTTGATGGATTTAGGGGATGGGGAACTTGGTACCTGACTGAAAGCAGTAGCCACTGCTTTGCCACGTCATGTGTGTACCCATTTGCTGATTTTATTTATTTATTTATTTTACAAGATGGCAGTATAATGTGCAAAATATACCATGTGTGATTTGATGTTTTTTCCAAGTTATTTTCTTACGTAGGGTCTTTATGCTTAGAATAATCATGGAAGCAATTAAATCTTGTTAAATCAGGGAAGCCACACAATGGGTTTTTGTCTGGGATTTTCTGTTTGTTTGGTTGGATTTTTTTAAGGAATTCCTCTAAAATATGCTTGTGAAAACTGATCCGCAATCCTCACTTTTTAAGACAAATTCTCTTTAAATAGTTTAAATAAAAAAGACCTGCTCACCCTTTGTTGTTACATAATCTTCTATTAGCATCCTTAGGAACTTTGTTTGCTTGTGTGGGCTTTTTGGAAGTACTTAAGAGATTAATGACTTTATCAAATCTAGAACTGGTACTTTATAATAACGTGCAACTCAGAAGATTAATTTTCCATTCAGACACATATGCATTGTTTATTTCACAGAAATCAGATTAGTTAGGAGAAGGGTAAATACTCCAATCACAAGTTAGATGGATTTTTTTTCCTTTTTTTATTTTAGATAAGATGAAATCTTGTGTATTTCATGGTAGTAGATACAGAGTTGATTAAAGCAGGACACATTCTCTGCACGTTCCAGCTAAATCCAAATTAGAGTTTTTCAAAAAGGAGCATCCTGCAATTATGTCTATAGTCTCTCTGTTTATAGATGTTATCCAAGAGATCAAGGGATAGCTCCCATTTATATAAAGCAGATAATGTTTTTAATGTTGGTTTCTCTGGTATGAAGAAATAATCTGCTCTGCAAAGCTGAGAGATGTGTATGGGTAAAGCAATAAATACATTCCTTCTTTGAAAAATACTACCACTTTATCCTCTGCATTAGGCTGACTTTATTTTTGAAGAGATTTTTAAAAGTAAAGGATTATTATCTATGAATCCCTCATCTTCCTAGGACAGGCATTCATAATTAAGGTCTGGTGGGGGGAAAAAAAAAAGGCCAGTGCTAATTACTTCAGAAAAAAATTAGGATTAAAAAACCAAAAAAACCCCTCACTTTAAACAGTTTGCTGTGAAGCAGCTGGCATTCTTACTGCTTTGGCGGAAGTTGACGACTCACATGTTCATCTGTCAAGTTCATAAAGGGGAGCTACACACTTTGAAGGCAGTTTTCATTATATAGAACAACATACTCTACAAATAGAATTGCAGAATTTAGAAAATTTATTGTACAGCGAGATTACAACTTCAGATTTTCCTAAGTCAATCGTAGTATAGAAAAACACTGAATACCTGTATGTAGTCCTTTCTTAATGGTTGGCAGTGAGATTTTGATGCATTGCTACATAAAGAGGCTCATCTCAGCGTGCGTGTGGTTATTGGACAGACATATGAAATAAGGGAAGTACCTTGTAGTTGGAAGTATCACCATTATATCTGTACATTGTGTCCTTTACCAGTCAAACACTGGTTCTTTCGATGTCTACAGTGAATTTTTGGTATTTGGAAAAATATATTCTCTTATGGCCCGGTGAGATATTCAGTACAGCATTTTGTGTCTGAGGGTAGGTCTTGCATTATTTTGGAGGATATATCCTTACATTAATTCGATGGATGACTTGGCCTAGGTGTTCTGCTGCATTGTATTTTGAAAGTCGTATGTCCTTGGTTTCTTCAGTTGTGATTTTCTGTACTTTCATCTTCAGCTGGGGTCTACAGTAACTCTCTCTTGTTCGTTCTCAGCAGCCTGCCCTTTTTGCCCTTCAGCAGGTTGCTGTGGAGTTCTGGCTTGCTCTGCAGGTCCTGTGTATATAATTCTTAATAACCCGTGAATAGTCTTTGGTCCTGGCTTCTGAGAAGAATCTTGGTAGAGGGATATTTTGTTGGGCAGGCACAGGGAATTCTAGTGTAAAGCCACATACATTATTAAATTTAGCACGTGAAACTAACAACTGTTGTCAGAAAATCCACCTCAGACAGGTGTGCCAGTATTGGTTTTGCATCCTTCCTAATTTATTATTATATATCATGAAATGTAAATGCAGTTATGTCACTATAAAAATAGCTTTACAGTAGTATATCTATTTACATTTAAAATGAAGCATTGGTATGAAAGTTCTCTTGCAAGGGCTTGTGCTGTAAATGCTGTATGGGTTTAAAAAAATGTAGGTCTTGGGCTTCCTCTATCCAGCAAGGGAACCTGGAACTCTGTGTCTGTGATGCTGAAACTTGTGTTGTGTTCTCAGTTGTTAAAGGAAAATGTTTCTAACATGAAAGTGCCATAATACTCTGTTCAGAATTTAATAGAAAATTAAGATGATTGTTGCTAGGCTTACCTGTGTAGGAAGTGTTTAAAACTCTGTCCTTCTTGTGCCTCGTATATGGTCCAAATGTACTAGTACTAATTGCGAATCTTATTAAATTTAAAATTTAATGAATTTAAAAACATTCCAAAATGTGAGATAATTTATTGTGTAAAAGGAAAAGGCCAAGTTAGTGAGACTTCAGAAACAATTTTTAAAAATCACATGCACAAATGCAAAAAACTGTTCTGTTCAGAAATCTGTTGATTGAAATATATGTTTTTAGTTTTAGTGGTTTGGGCTTACAGATTAGAGCTAATAGAAAGATTGAAATTTCATTGTAATTTTTTTTGTTAACTGCAGGCGAAATAGGAGTGTTAGTATGTTTTTTAAAACTCAGGATGAGCTGAACGGAGGAAATGTTTTCCAAAAATTACTATAGAACAAAACTGTGTACCTTAAAAACTCAGTAGTTTTAGCTTTCTGCCTTCTAGGAATCGCTATAAATGCTAGAAACTTAAGGGGAAAGCACACTAAATACCAAAGACGGTGTTACTAAATGGCATTCCTTCAAATCTTAACAGCATAAAATAAACTAATTTGAACTATCTTCCAAAGTATTACCAGATGATGAAGGCATTTTGAGTTAAAATAAATGAACACAGAAATGGTCAAGAGACATGAGTGCCTTTTTGTATCATGTCTCTTCTGCCTTTTTTTCCAGAAAGTTTCATGCCATCTGCTAGGTGTGCTTACATAGGATTTGTTTCTCAAGGAGGCTGTTCTTTCATCATGACTTCCAAAAAGCAAATGGAGTCTAATGAAAGGTTTACATTGCATTCATTGCCTGATTATGTCTAGGAATCCTGCTTGAGCATGTTGTAGGTAACCAGAAATCAAGCTAGTATAATGGCAACTTTGTAATAGGGAGTAGGAGCAAGAGAAAGATTAAAAGAACGGGGAAGGCAGATGTGTGTCTTTGCTGGTGGCAGGATCTCATCTCCTTTTATCTTGTTTAGGTTTCTCCTCTGCCTCCTACTTAAAGGTCCATGTTAAAACCCACCACGGTGTTCCCCTTCCCCAGGTCTCCAGGCACCAGGAGTCCATCCCGAATGGGGGAGCAGCGTTCCACTGCGTCAGGACCTATGGCATCAAAGGCAAGAGACTCATAGCTCTGCACCTTGCTGCTCTGTGCAGAACTTTTGTGTTGTGGGATGTTGGGCTGGGCATGAGAAACGGGAGGGAGGAAGGACAGGGAAAATACTGGAGAGAAGCTTAGGGAGATGCAAAGAAATTACATAGCATCACATGGTGTGTAATACCTGTCCTTGGATGATAGCAGATTTAACAAGTCTGGGGGAAGGAGATGGACATGTAAGGGTATGTGAATTTTTGGCAGCTGCTTTGATTTTAAAGATTGAAAAAGCCATGTTAGTTAATCTTGACCGTCTTCCTAGGAGCAGTCATTATTTGAATTTTTCCTGAAGGGTGCAGATCCTTGACGGTTCCTTAGTCCCACTATACTTAAATCTTGCATCAGTCAAACCATGTTTCTGAGTTCCGGTGAAGTAAGGGGGAGCCACAGAATGTAGTTCATAAAGATTCTTGAGCGATGAAAGCAATATTCATCCTCAGGTTGATGTGGAGCCATGGAACTATCTGTAGTTAAACTTACACTTTTTAATGCTGTTGTTGGGGAGGAGAGGTACAAGATTATAGTAGTATTACTTTTTTTGGTTTTAACCTGCACTTAACTTCGGGAGGGACAAGAAAAAAGATATTATTGTAAGAATAGCTAAAGAGTATTTAATTTCTGAATATGTAAAGCTGTGTGTTAATCTGTGGAGAATAGCTTGCTTTTTTGCTTCTTGGTTTGAGCTGTCAGTATTCCTGGTGAAACTGAAACATCAGAAAATTCTTCAAAACCATGGTTGTCCCAAAAAGTTACATTTTTTCTTGCCCAGCAGAACACAGCAGGCTGGGTTAAACAAAGTCTGTGCCAGCAGAAAGCTACAATAGTGTATTTTTTTTTTTCTGTTGAAGTCATGATAGAGTTACTACAGAGGCTGTTTGGTTCTGGGTGGTGTGCTGACTTAACACGAGATTTACTCCAGCTCAGTGGTGTATTGATTTCATGCATATCCTGTTTGGTTTGTAATGCCGAGTCCAGTGCAAATCTGTCTTTTGGGTTATGCCAAGTGGTTCTTTGGTCTTTTAGAGTTAATAGTAGATACAGCTTGTTTGTATTCAGAGACTCATTTAGGGAGTATGTCTGGGTTTCCCACGCTCATTCATATGCGCTGAGCAAGAAGTGTGGACAAACTTCCTTGGCATACTGCCAGAGGAGAATGGGGAACACTCCAAACATACCAAGGGCTTTGCCAGGATGTGTATCCAAATGACTTAAAAAATGTCCCTAACCTCTCTTCTGTTTCATACTCCAGTATTTAAAGATGGAACAATTTTAGATTATGAAGTTTGCTTCTAGCAGCGTTGCACTTGTAAAGAAAGAGTTCCTCAAGACTCATTGGAATTCCACTTCTTAAATTGCAGTACCTCACTGCTGTTTTGCTGAGTATTTTCAGGTTTCTTCACATCTTGCTGCAGCCTGTTATACTTCATTAGGTTTCTAGGCTTTCCTCCAAACTATCAGCAATATTTCAGAAGTGTGGGAGTGACTTGTACAGTTAAAAACTCATCATTAGGTCCATCCTTTTGTAGTGCCTGAGGTATAAACATTGTGAGACATCTTTGGGATTAAAAAACTTATTATATAAACCAGAGACTCATTGTGGATGCATTCAGGATTGTGATAAATCTATAATAAAAACCTGGATGTTACTCTTGATAGCGGGGCCGGTGGTTTGTAAAGAGGACCTATGGTCAAGGGCTTTGGAATATGAGGGATTGCGATGTTAAGTGTGTATCATTCTGTGATGACAGGCATTAATGAAATCAAGTGGTAACCACTATTACCTATTTGAATGCATTTTTAAATACTTTTTTTGAGAGATAAGATTCTGAAAACTTCTCTCTTTTCTTTTTCCTGTAGAAGGCCAGAAATGTTCACATTCGGACCCGATTGAGAGTTCTGATTCATACGGAGACCTCTCTGACACCAGTGACCTCAAGACTCCTGAGAAACAGAGCACCAATGGGTCCTTCTCATGTGACATGGCAGTCAGCAAAAACAAAATGGAGACGGAAGGAGAGAAGAAGTACCCTTGCCCTGAATGTGGCAGCTTTTTCAGATCAAAGTCTTATCTGAACAAACACATACAGAAAGTTCACGTCAGGGCCCTTGGTGGCCCGTTGGGGGACCTTGGTCCTGCTCTAGGATCCCCCTTTTCACCCCAACAGAACATGTCTCTCCTGGAGTCATTTGGGTTTCAGATCGTCCAGTCAGCATTTGCATCATCCCTAGTGGATCCAGAGGTCGACCAGCAACCAATGGGGCCAGAGGGGAAATGAGATCAGTTTGATCTTAACAAAGCAAAGCAGCAGTCTGGCTATAATGATAAGATGCTGTGAATGAGAGGAAATAATGAAATTTGGTTCTATAGCTGAGAATTTTTTACTCATTTTAGCTTCCCTCTTTGTCTCATGTCCTACCCCACCTTTAAACCTTCGCTGGGGAGAGGGAGAAGATGCTTCTTAGCTGATAAATTACAGAAGATGGTGACCTTGAGTACGAGACATGACCTAAAACACCAAACGGAGCTTTAAAGGCTGCTGCTGGTGTTCCATCATAATCTTCTAGATTAAACAAAAGTCGCCAGCACTGATCTGAGAATTAGTCAGTCCTAGTGACCAAGGCACCTGGGGAGCTACAGCTACAGGGAGCTATGCTTTTGTTCTCTCTCTATTCCCCACCTTCCCTAACCTACCCCAGAAAAACAGTAAGTTTTAAAAACAGACCCATTATTGACCCATTATTGAATATAACATTAAGTAAAATGCTCCATGGTACCTAGCAGGTTACGATGCAGTTGTCCTTTTAAAAACAGAAAAATTTAAAGAAGGTGAGAGAATTTGAACCCCTTCTGCCATTTGTGAGGCTGTGAGTGCTGCAGCAGGACTGAACTGCTGAGAAAAATCACCATTCAGAACAGGTTGTTTTTGTTACTTTTAACCATTAAACTTGCTGTCAGGTTTTTAATTCTCTATTATTATTATTTTAGGACCTGTTGTAGTGAATTGCTACTGAAAAGCCAGTCTAAGGCGATACACAGAGCACTCTTAAAGCAGCAGTCACATTAGGGTTAGTATTAATTTTTTTTTTAGATGTACCATAATTAATAACTTGGCTAGTTGATTGTTTTAAGTCTATGAAAGAAATAGTTTTATGGGAAAAAAAAAAAAAAACAAAAAAAAAAAAAAAAGGAAGGAAAAATACCATTGCAGTCTGGTTGACTGGTGCTCATTTTTCATGTGGGGACCTAGGGTATAAACACAATCAGCTATCGGGTTAACACTATGTACCACTGACTTGTTTAGTGTGAATAAACCCAGGGGTTCACAGAGTGATTTTGGTTTAATTGGATTGGACTCTATTAAAGAAGTCAGTATGTTACTTTGCATCCCCTCGTTTTGTCTGGTTTTTGAGCAATTTAGCCACCTGTCCAAAAGGTGTGCAAATGAGAACCAGTAAATAAGACATTAATCCCACTCTACACTGTACTGTATTCTGAGTGAGCTGGGCTTTTTGGCTACAGTTGTGCTCTCCTGATCTGTCTCTAGTCAGGTTTGCGAAAGCCAGTCTTAGTCCTGTCTTCTCCAAAGAAGAAGGGCTTCTACTAGAAGAGATGGGAATAGCAAATGGCATATCTCTGAAAAAATATTGATTACAAAATATAAAGAAGCTGGGCTCTAGGCTGTTGGAGGTGCCATTTAATGTGAAAATACCACTTGTGCAGAAATAATGTCCTTTCTTGACCCTCCCTTTCCTCCCATGTAACTTGTCAAGGTCTTTATGTACCAAATCCAGGTATAAATGTTGTTTAACATAGGGTTAGGAGTTAGGAATACTCTGAGTTATAATTATGGTTCTGCTGTTGATGCTCAAGGTCACATAGGACAGCTCCCTGAATTTATTCCTTGATTACCCATCTGTGAAGAGTTTTCTCTACATCACAATTGCTGTGAGGGTTAATAAGCAAAGGTGTAAGCAATGATTTGGTAAACAAAGTTGCTGTGTGTACTGAATGTTTCTAGAAAGGCCACTCTGAAGAGCCCAAGTCCCACACCGAACTTCCATTCTATGAAACAATAGCTGTCTGCGTCATTAAGTCACTGCTGGAGCAGGGTAGACCACCTCAGACCAGGACCTACATCCTCTGCAGGAGATACGTCCATATTAAATGTGAATGTAGCCACAAACTGCTGCTGCGCCACAACTTGCGTTGCCCAGGTGCTCCGAATCCAAACCCTGCAGCTAATGCATAATTGAAATGACACGTTTTGTTTTTATGTTAGATCCTTTTGTAAGTATATGGATTTTAGAATGATGTTCTAAATTCTACAGACTTAAAAGCCCCAGCTTCTCTCTTGCAAGAAGCTACTTTTTTGTACTTGCTTTTGAGTATTATAAACAAAGGATGAATAATCAATGGCTTTCTCTTAATAGCACCAGCACTTTCTAAATTGAGAGCGTGTTGCAGTGGACCTGATGTCTTGCTATTAATCTGTGTTGGGAGACTGAAGGACATGTTCTTCTCGATTCATCTTCCCCCAGAATCCCTGGAATAGGTATGAGTCTCATTTAAAAGGGGAAGAAAAACTGCAAACCAAACCAACCCACCTTCAAACTAAAGCTTTGTGGAAGTGCTGTTGCTGTACTGGTAAGCTTGGTTGACAAGTAGAAACAGGACATTTTGTAAAGGTAACAAAACATTTTAAAATACCTTACAAATCTAGACCGTGGTGAGACAACCTTGTGAGCTGCCAAGCAAGTCAAGATAGAGCAGGCTTTCCAGTCAGCCTAACAATTCATTGGGATTAGCAAATGCAACTGCATTCACTGGGATTTACTACTAGCTCATATTACAGCCACTAGGAAAATTTCTGTTGAATTGAGGCTGTATTCTGAAAGATGTGAGTTTGTAGCCCCAAGTTCCTATATGCACTCAAAGAGGGTGCACTAGTCATAACATTCAACCAGAATACAGGATATTTTCACCCTACATTTAGTTCCAGTGACTTAAGTGTTACTAGTGGGCTGAATTTGGTCTTGTGTATCATCAAATGCTACAGAATTTGACCTGATGAAACAAATGAAAAGCCTTGCACTAAAAAGGAAGCCTTCTAAAACACTAACTCTGCATTTTGCTTGTCAAAGAAAATGCTGACTAAGTTGTCATGAATACACTGAGTGAAAGCTACTTACTTCTCAATAGTGAACAGGGAAACAATTGGGCAGGAAGTTAACAATCCTGAAATGGCAATTCTAGATTATTCTAGTGTAAATGAGAGAGATTTCCACCAACACAAGAGACTGGTGCAGACTAGTGCCAGCAGTAGGTTGGGCATATCTTTAGCAGTGGTGTGTTTTCAGAGCTTTTTGCTTCTTTGGGAGCATACTGTTCTGTTCTGGATAGTAATTTAATCTACATGCAAATTCTTTATATTCTGTACTTTGGGAAACATCTACTTCTCATAGAACAGAAGACAGATCCAAACAGAAACTCAGCCTCCTAAGTTCAGAGTTCAAAGGGAAATGCCCTGAGCTGCAACCTCGCTTAACTTGTTTCTATTCCATTTTTATTGGCATATATCAGTGTATAGGGGATAGTTCTCATTCTGGGCCAGCCCTCCTTTCCTTGTCATCTGCTTTGGTGGGACTGCAATCCAGTGTTTGAGTCGGTGCACTTTTCTGCCAAGAAGGGAACTTCAGTTCATACAAATCTTGATAATCAGAGTTGTATTTCTTTGAATTTCAGAAGTCCTTAAAGCCCTCAGCTGAGGCTCAGACCCTTGTGTATTAGGTGTGATGAAGACATCTTAAACCATTTACAATCTAAACATTAAGGATAGACAAGCAAGGAATCAATGCTTATAGGTTAATGAGTGAAATAAAGGTGAAGGACTAAAAACCACTTGCATGCATGCTTAAGTGTTGTGTTGAATATAAGGACACAGACTTATTGTCAGGCTTCTTTTGTTGCCTGAATTAATTTATGTACTGTTAATGTACATCAAATGCAACGTTAAGCAATTTATAGTGAATTTATTCCATACTGAGTTAAATTAAGTGACATTACTTTGCATTTGTCATGTGCTAGATGTGTGCCAACAGACTTATTAGTGTGGCTCACCTGATGCATGGCAATGTGGTGCGTGTGAGCTCTCAATCTGAAGCGATTTGCCCATGGTGACATGGGAAATTGATAGCAGAACCAGAAATTGAACACAGATTTTTCCTTCTCTCAATCCAGTGCCTTAACTATAGTAGGGCAAAGTATTATATGTTGGGGAGATGATTGTTTTGTTTGTTTTTTAAAGCCTAGAACTATAAGATGGTATGGAGTTGGTCTTCCTGCCAATCTGTTGAATAGTTGCAAATGCCCAGTCACAATTTTAGACCTGTTTGAGTGCCAGTGACTTAGGGAATATTTGTCATTTCCCATGTATTCCCTGAAATTATTGTTCCTCCCTCGACTGCTGTCAGCAGTAAGGAATGACTTGAATAGAAGAGCTGTGTAACTGAATGTCTATCTAACTCAACTAATTGAATTGATAGTATGAAAGCTAACCTAGATTTTGTAGGCTTTGTTGTAACTTTAGTGTCTTGTTTTTTCACTAAATCTTTGTTCCTAGAAATCGGTATCTGAACTTATGTCTTGAGTCTGGAGTGGGGTTCCACTTTCAGCTTTATTTTTTTTTTAAGGTGCTTGCTTGAGGAAGTAGATGCCAAAGTAAACTTCAAAGGAATTCCCGACTTCAGTGTTAGAAGAATGAATGGAGGGCAAGAGCTCTCTTTGGGTTTCATGAGAGATAAATGGACAAAGTAAAAAACAGCCACCAAAATTCTAAGTAGTGAAACAGGAAAGGCTTTTCTTTATCACCCACAAAAATCATCAGACATTTTCAATTGTTCATCGTAGCAGAAACTCTGAGAGCAAGTGCCCAACAAAACCGTGGAATGTGTTGGCTTTTTCAGCATTATGAATATACCTTAGCAGCATTATGAATATTTTAATGTTAGTTTAGCCAGCTTTGTACCATTCACCTTTTGTCTGGGCACAGTACCTGAGTTTTAATTGAATAGAATATAAGCTCACAGTGAATCTCTGAGCTTATGCTCTCAGTTCCACCCCAAGAGACGAAACAAATGAGCAAAGAGGCGGGGAAAAAAGACAGTAGGAAAACTTAAAAGATTCTGGAACATTCCCATGTCTGCTGAGAGGGTCCTGGTTTTTATCCTGAACATCCTTTTCGGAACAAGATCCTTCAGCTGTTGTGAATGAGCCTTTGGGAACAGATTTGGCTTTCATCCCAATCTGCTGCTCCGCATCCCCGTAAGAAGGCGGCTGTGTGTTTGGAGCACTGACCTTGGGACCCGGAGGGCAGCAGTGCTCCTGGGCTGCAGCCTGAGGCCACGGTCACTGTTGCAGAGTCAGCAGCAGCAACACTGGCGTAACGTCTTCCTGCCTGCTCCCTTGACACCTT